AATACAGTGAATAAGTACAATCGTCGTCAACAATAAACAATATAATCACCATAGCTTGCTACTTGCTAGTATATTAATAATATTATTTATAGCCAGTAAAGTAATTAGTGCGGTATGAATATATAACACACACGACACACCTATGTATATTTAGGTAATAGCCAACACAGTATAATATCAATATTTAAATATTATTTAATTCTTTTAATGAAATACAAAAATGTTTGGTTTATTTTTAATATTTTACGTGTGATTGAGGATTTCARGATTTGTTTAATATAACACTATTTACTTACTTAATACAATGTATTTTAGAGCTCCTGGGCTCCAGCACGAGTTCTCTCAGTATAAAGTCCAATATTTTGAAAAAATAACATGTTTTTGGCACAATAGTGTTTATAATCTATTTAAATTTAAGTACTAATATACTTACTATTTTTTGGTGCCTACACAATATTCATAATAATATATTACATATCGCCGTTACAGTTGCAGTTTTTTGTGTTTTGAATCTGTTTTTATATCATCCATATTATATAATGTATATAGGTAACGAATACTCACAGCATAAAGTCGAACGTATTGAAGAAAAAACATGCAAATTACGTTTTCAACAACACTTTGAGACAAGCACGTCCGCGGGATAAAATCCCACTTGGAGCAAAATCAAAATTATAAAACCAAATCAAAAAGATTATTTTAAATTTTAATATACTTTTAGTGTCTTCATTCTAAAATAGCATAACCTAAATAGAAAAAAAACAACATTATGTCATCACTAAGTCCTTTTATAGGTTTACAGTACAATATTAATATTTTTAGAATACCTACATGTTAATGTAGATGTTACAAATTAATTATATTTATATTAATTATCAAATAAAAGTTGTATGCGTCTTGGTTGCATACAAAATGATTATATAACGTCTTCAATTATGTTTTGTTTTTGCTTTTAACAATGTCTTTAATATGCGTGGCATTAAATATTAACAATAAGAGTATACTCTATGTCCAGGGGTTAAAGTGGGGGGACGCAGGAGTACTCAGTCCCCTTACCTCTGACGGCGGTTAAAAAGCGTCCCCTTTAACAAATTAGGATTTTATACATTAGACATTATACCTAAAATTATATATGGAACGCTTAAAACTTTATGGAGCATTAGTCCAGTCCCTTCTGGAATTTTTCCCCACTTTAACCTCTGTCTATGTCTATATGGCTTATACGTTCATGTGCTTACATTGTTCTGTGTTTATTGTTATGGGCTTTTTATGATGTTTTAATTTTAAAGCTAGTTATGAGTATTTAAGATAATATACAAATAATTTACAAATTTAAAATTTTTATAACTTGCTTTAAAGTTAAAATATAATAAAATGCTCAGGGCCATGTTCGATATTTTTAGGAGGGAGGGAGGCAATATAAATTCTATAATTTGAATTTGAATTAATAACTTATGGTTATAATTATAAATAGGTATCGATAAAAAACCAAAGCTGTAAATTATTTGTATATTATCTTAAATACTCATAACTTGCTTTAAAGTTAAAATATAATAAAATGCTCAGGGCCATGTTCGATATTTTTAGGAGGGAGGGAGGCAATATAAATTCTATAATTTGAATTTGAATTAATAACTTATGGTTATAATTATAAATAGGTATCGATAAAAAACCAAAGCTGTAAATATTGTTTTATCAGTTTAAATAATGCATGTAATGTTTATAACAATTAATATTTGGTACCTATAGTATTATTCGTATTAACTAATTTTTTTATTTATATGCATAGGTCTATGTTTATATGATACTCGTTTTTTTTTAGCTTCTATACAGGCCAATAAGGCCCTTCACTGCTTCTACTAAAAACCTCTTCATCGGTCTCTGTTGTCTGCATCTTCAATTTTTGCGGTTTCATCTACTTGCATTAAACCTTTTTTGCCCGATCTATTCAATGTTGACGTGGTCTTCCTCTGGGGCGTGTTTTATTTGGTTTAGATACCACAAATTATCTCATTAGGCTGTCCTTATATCACTATATGTGACCTGCCCATTCCAGTCTCGTCGAGACAAGATATTTTTGGATATTTAGTCCATTAAAGATTCTTTCAATATTTGCATTAGTTCTCCTTTCGTAATGCCCTGTTTCCGTGTTATATATGGACCATATATTCTTCTCAGAACTTTTCTTTCAAATATTAATAACTTTGTCTCATCCCCTTTAGTGGTGGACCACGTTTCGCAACCATGCATTACTATGGGCCATAAGTAGTAAATATAAAGCTTTTTCTTAGTTTCTCTGGAAAGATGTTTAGAACTGAATAATTTACTCATTGCATAGTAACCACGATTTGCCGTATTAAGTCTCAATCTAATTTCGTTATGCATATCATTCCTATTATTCAAGTTGATACCCAAATATTTAAAGTCTACTTGTTCAAAAGTATATCCATCTACGATGAGATTCTGTAAAATTCTTTAATATTCTATTTTATGATAATCGTAGTTACATCAAAAAATTTTCAATAGAAAATTAACAGGGCCAACTGTACCCCTACCCTGAATCCACCACTGGAGGTGCCCTAATAGATTATAATAATGTTACCTTTAATTTTTATAATAAGAGGTTAATTCACTCTAAATTTTAAACTAACGGAATAAAACGTGATCTGCTGAGCGTATAATTTGTTACGCACTTGTGGAACAGAGACAACACATACGAGTATAACGTTCTCTTAAATATATGCTTTGAGGTTGATAATTGGAGTCCAACTGGCAACGACGACCTGGTGATTTAATAGTACAGCTAGTATTAGGGTGGATTCAGACATGGAGACCATGGAGTCCTTATGTAATCCAATATCGAATATTCGAATATCTAAGTGGGAGATGTATGGGATACCAGAAGGTGAGTATATAGGAGATAATATAGCCATGGAAGCATCATGGACATCTCAAGGAATCTACAAATACCAGTTATGGACTTCATAATCCTAATCCCATATAATACATGTATTCCGAACGGGCGCAAACTAGTTGCCTCTCAAAGTCAAAAAGGTCAACAACTTTTATACGAATTTCGTCCCGATCTTAAACGTGTTGCCTCCCGACGTATCGTTAATGTAATCGTAAATAAAAAGGGCGATTGTAAATTTCATCGATTTACAGATAGTTGATTTTTGGGTTGGATTTATAACATGGAAATTCCACCGATACATTTTTTTACCTGCAAACACGTAAACTCCACAGATTACAACTATTTTTAGTATAGCTACACATCAACTTTTGAGACTGAATCAGGGACGGCTCTAGACAAAATGTGTAAATAGGCAAAATTAACATTTGTTGCCCTTTCGTTTTTGTAGTTTAGACATAGGCCTATGTTGCTTGTGCCTTCCGCTGAGCCTAGTACTGACTTATCTAAAGCAGATAATATCATATATAGGTACTCATATACTAACTACTCTCATAATCTCATACTAATCATAATGATCACTACCTATTGATTATTACATCTTTTATTTTAATGTTGGGTAAAAAAAGATATAAGGATCTATAAATACAATATATATATATTATATATATATA